TCCTGCTCCGAAAGCCCAGGTCGGCGTGGGCAGCGAGCCCGGGCTGCGAGTCCAGCGCCGGGAGCGCAGCCCCGGCACAGCGTGGGAGGCAGCGCAGGGGCTTCCTCTGGGCGCCTCTTCTAAGCATGCTGGAAGGGGAGAGGTGCCTTCAGTCAGCACGGAGGGGTCCGGAGTTGGCCCTCGAATGGGTTTGAGGGATGCTCGGTTCAGAGAGGGGACACTGATTTCTGTGAGCACAGCGCTGGGCGTCGCAGCCAGAGTTAACTCCTCTTTAACTTCACGTACACTGGCAATGCCGTGGCCCCAGTACCTTCAGCAGCAGTAGGATACGCGTTTCCCATGGGAAACTGTTGTTTCAGCTCCTCACTTTCTCAAGCAGTGAAGGCACATACCCCTGGTTTGGGAGGTGTGTCAGGATTTTCTGTCGTTTCTGTAAAAAGTAGGCAAATACTTCTGTTTACAGACTGGGAAGGGAAGCTGAGCTCCCTTCTGCATAGTCACTGTTGTAGGCAACAGTTTATTTTAAGGCGGGATGGAAAGAAAACACACCAAAAAAGAAAAGAGAGTTCCCCGCGCTAGCGCTGGAGCGTGACAGCCGGAGGCTCAGAGCTCCCGCCCGCATCTGCCGGGCAGCTGGTTTCACGGCTTTCCATTAGGTAACGTATGGGCAATTTTATGATGTGGGTTTCTTTTCACACACTAATTGGCTGTGTGGGACTTTTTGTGGGGAATTTGGAAACTTGCTGTGAGAAGCTAGGATCATGGGGTGTGACTTCTCATTTTTTATTTTTGATTTTTAAAGCGAAAGTGCAGAGCCGGGGTTCTGGGAAGTGGCTTTCCTGCCCGTAATTACGTTGGCCTCCGGTGTTCCAGCTCGCTCGTGTTAGAGCTTTTATTGCATCTCCCGGGCTTTTCCCCATCCATGCCTGTGCCAGGTCAGGGGTGGGGTAGCTGTAGCACCAAAAGCCCTCGAGGGAGAGGTGTCAGGCTCCAAACACCACGGACCCCGCGCAGGTCTCGGTGCTCCCCCGCTGGTGGGTTACATCCAGGGAAATGCCACGGTGCAGTGACTGTGCAGGAAGGTGATTAGGGGAATTTTGTCCTTTTTTCCCACTTTCATGTTGGTTTTCATCCTTTTCTTCCACTTTCAGTAGCAAAATGAGAGACTCTTCTCTTTCTCTGTTTTTGCTTTCCGCCCCTTGCCCCGGCGTGCTGGGAGGGTCCTGGTTCCCGGTCTGTTTGGGAACTGGCAGTGCCAGCGCCGGCCCCCCCCGTGGCGGGGTCCCTGCAGCAGCCAGCGCCGGTCCTGCACGGCCGAGCTGGTGGAGCTGCCCCCACCGGACCCCGGTGGCAGTTGGGCCACAGCGTGTGCCCCTTGCTGGGTACAAGAGATGGGGGGGCGGCTGTGGATGCCTTTTCCCTGTGAAACACCATCCAGCCTCAGCAGCTGCCGGAAAAGGGCAGAGGCTTTGCCTGAAGGGGATTCTCTGGTGGCTCGTAAGGGTTGTGCACTGTCAGGAGCTTTTTCCAGCAAGTGCGTTGGTGCTGGTTCCCCCACCACCACCACCGGGACATCCAGGCGTTTACTGAGGGCTCATTTCACACAGAGAGCTTCCTCTGAAGCGGGAGCTGTAATGGGGCCTCTCATCTACCTGTCCAACTGCTTTCATGAAACTGGTTAGCAGCTTTGTACGTGTGTGTCTTCGCTCCTCTGTCAGATGTGGGTGAAGG